CTATCTCGTCTTCGCCATGCAGCTCGGCTTCGCGATGCTCTGCGCCGGATCCGTCCGCGCCAAAAATACCTTGAACATCATGCTCACCAATGTCCTCGACGCCGCCGCCGGCGCCCTCTTCTACTACCTCTTCGGGTTCGCCTTCGCCTTTGGATCCCCATCCAACGGATTCATAGGTCACCACTTCTTCGCCCTAAAATCAGTCCCCTCCCCTGGATTTGACTACCCTTATTTCCTCTTCCAATGGGCCTTTGCCATAGCCGCCGCCGGCATCACATCCGGGTCCATTGCCGAGCGCACCCAATTCGTCTCCTACCTTATATACTCTTCCTTCCTCACCGGCTTCGTTTATCCCATTGTCTCCCACTGGTTCTGGTCCGCCGACGGCTGGGCTGCAGCAAACCGAAATCCAAACGATTCTCTTCTATTCGGCTCTGGAGCTATCGATTTCGCCGGATCTGGCGTCGTTCATATGGTTGGAGGAATCGCTGGCCTTTGGGCGGCCCTAATCGAAGGTCCCCGCATTGGTCGGTTCGATCACAACGGCCAACCCGTCGCCCTCCGCGGTCATAGCGCTACTCTCGTCGTCCTCGGCTCATTCATGCTCTGGTTCGGCTGGTACGGCTTCAATCCCGGCTCGTTCGTCACGATTGCCAAATCTTACGGCCCAGTAGGCTCCCCAATCAACGGGCAGTGGTCCGCCATAGGCCGCACCGCCGTTACCACCACCCTCGCCGGATGCACGTCAGCTCTCACCACTCTTTTCGGTAAACGCCTTCAAACAGGACACTGGAACGTGATCGACGTTTGTAACGGGTTGCTCGGCGGGTTCGCCGCCATCACCGCCGGATGTGCTGTGGTTGAACCTTGGGCCGCGGTTATCTGCGGCTTCGTGGCGGCCTGGGTTCTGATCGGGTTCAATCGTCTCGCCGAGAGATTTCAGTACGATGACCCCCTCGAGGCCGCTCAGCTGCACGGCGGTTGCGGCTCATGGGGGGTTCTCTTCGCGGGTTTGTTCGCGAAGAAGGAGTTCGTGGAGGAGGCGTATCCGGGGAGGCCGGGGAGGCCGTATGGGCTCTTTATGGGCGGCGGAGGAAGGCTTCTGGCTGCGAACGTTGTGCAGATGTTGGTGATAGCTGGGTGGGTGAGCGCGACGATGGGTCCTCTGTTCTTTTTTCTTCATAAGATGGGTTTGCTCAGAATCTCGGCGGAGGACGAGTTGGCCGGCCTGGATTTGACTAATCACGGCGGCGGCGCTTACGTTTACTATGACGAGGACGCATCCGGCGGTGGAAGCCATGGCGGCGGCTTCATGATGAAGGGGGTTAATTCGCGGGTGGATCCGCGGCTCACTCCTACGTCTTCCATTGAGGTTTAGCTACGCCGCCCCTGCTTTATCACAGTAGGTACGTACCTTGTTCATAATGAGGATGTCCTCATATAGTCTATTTCGGCTAGCCGGTAAACTGTTTCACCGTATCTTTTTATTATTGTTATGTTTTAACAACTTGTTAAACATTTCTCATCAGTGTGATCTGCTGTTAATGATCATGAGGATAGTAAGTCTTTTTTCTTTTTTTGTCAAATAGGCCATTTGAACTCTATCTTAAATATTAAGGTTTCATTTAGAGCAGTTTTTTTTTTTTTTTTTTTTTGCTAAAAAGCAGTTTTTATTACAAAATTAAAAAAAATGTACTACAATGTTATTTTAAGAAGCAGAAATAAAACCGTCTCAAACAAAGCCTAATATGATAATCTAAAATTTAATTTCTTAATCTATGATAAACTAGATTATTATTCAAATTGAGTTTTACATAAGTTATTTTTTCACTTTGTATTACCATTATCATTAATAATAGTACTTGAAGAGTTGATTTAATCTACTTAGCATCATTCGATATCCCATCCTACAATTTCCATTAAAAAAAGGTGCATCTCTAATATGGTACCAAAAAAAAAAAAGAACACAGCATATACGATACAAAAATAAGAAATTTAAGGATGAATAATGCATCACAAAAATTGAGCAAGAAAGTCATATAAAACTCATAGATGAATCCTATATCAAACCAAGTGAACTATAAGAAAGATACAAATCCTAAACTAACACAAGCTTAAAATCTTAAAAAAAGAGACCAAAAAAAATTCTAAATTGTAAAAAAAAAATAAAAAAAAATAAAAAATTATAAAAAGAAGATTAAAGTAAATGATTGTGAACAATTCATCGTTATACAAAACGTGAACATATAGAGTAAAAAAGAAGAGAGTGTTGCTATTAGTAAGAGAGGAAAGTTAACCTCTTCGAGAGTTATAAAGGCTTGTCCATGCAATATTGATGGTATTAATATCCTAATTTTTTTGAACAAGTAATTAACGAAATAAGAGATTCTTATGTTGGTAAACTAACAACAATGAATGACCCCTTCTCTTCTGATATCCTTCCCACTTATCTTTTATGATGGGCACATAATTATTAGACCATCTCTATTTGCAATATATGGTGAACCGATGTAGTTAATCGATGGTGGCTGGTAGCCTTAATGGTGAGCAAACAACATATGATATACTTCTTATGTGATTTATCTCCTTTCTCATCTCTCAACTCTATGGCAATTGTTCACCCAAACAATGCCTTGAGCCCTCTTTTCATGATACAAGTGATAAGTACACACCAATGTGGATTTTTGCAAGGTTGTTGATACCAAACTTTTGTAACCTAGAGAAATTAAGAGCTATAGATGTTTGAGAGCTTATATATTTTCTTCATTGAGATTTGTGAATTCTTCCTCTCACTCATCCATAATAAACATATGACATGTCAAATCACTAAATTCTTTTCAGGTGTTGTGTCCTCTAAAATCTCTCATTTTCTCTCGTTTCTCTAACTTTTAAGTCAAACATCATTAGGGACTAAAGTAGTTTGGAGGCTCAGCCTTCCTTCTCCTTCTTGGTGATTTGGTAGGTTATCTTACCCAATCTCACTTATTACTCCTCTATATTAACTTTCTAACATCCACATAACGTTAGTTAAAATTAAATATAGTCCATGAATATATGACACAAATATAATTTTAATTTGTCAACACTTAAAGGGTACTTCAATAAATATTTCATTCTTGTAACATCATCTTTATATTTAATAATAGTGTTCATAATAGCATTCCTTATGGTATTCATGATAAAAGTCTCTCAAATATTATTGAAGATAAAGGAAATAGGCATATCTCAAAGTTTCAATTTATTTATAAGCAAATTAGTAGGAAAAAAGAAGTAGGCATGTTTACTTATTAGGCCAACTAGATAGGCTTATATATCATGCTAACTCATTAGGCCACATGGTAGTCCTACTCATGAAGCCAATTTGGCAGGTTTACTCATCAAGCCAACTTTGTAAGCCTACTTTGACACCATCCCATACTTACAATTAGGTTTTCATGAATGATGTTACCTCCTGATTAAGTGGAAGGATAGTTTATATATCATCCCCTTTTAACCTACAACTTATTTTAAAAAAAAATTATGGAAATAATAAAAGAAAAATTCTATAACCGAGTTGTTATACTAATTATTAATTAATAAAAGAATGAATAGCTAAGAGTTGAACCAGCTCTCTATTTTCATAAAACATAGCTCTGGCATCATTCTCCTGGTTAGGTGGGGTATCAGGTTCATAATATGGGCTGAGATCGATGACATTAAAAGTGGAAGAAATATTGTAATCACTAGGTAGAACAATCTAGTATGCATTATCATTTATTTTCTTTATTATTAGGAAAGGACCATTAGCTCTGGGTTTAAGTTTGCTGGAAGAATGAAGAGCTAGAATGGGATTTTTTTGTAGACATATTGACTGATTTGTTGAACGCAGAGCTAGAATGTTCTTCCCAATTAAACATCGTAGTAGATTTCCCAAATTTTTATTTATTGTTTCCATTTTCCCATTCATTTTTTGATGCGTTTCTGAAGAAAATTATAGTTTCCTAATCTAGTACAAGAAAAAAAAATGAATGGGAAAATACTCGCAAATTCATTTGATACCCCAACCTACAATTTCCATTAAAAAAATTATGAAATTCATGTTGATCATATTAGCAATACTCATTATATCATTTGATTTCCCATCCCAAAATTTCAATTAAAAAAGGTGCATCCCTAATCTAGTACAACAAAAAAAAATACAACTTATATAATACAAAAATAATAAATTTAAGAAATTTATATCAAACTCAACAGTGAATCATGCATCAACCAAAGTGAACTAGAAGAAGAAGAAAATAATGAGCTCGCAAGAAAAATCCTTGATTCACACAAGTTTAAACTCATAGAAAATAGACCAAATAAGATTCACAAATAATAAGTAAGAAATTCATACCAAACTCAACAATGAATCCTACATCAACCCAAGTGAACTAGAAGAAAAAGAAAAATCCTAGATTCACACAAGTTTAAACTCTTAAAAAAAGCAACCAAAGTAAAATTCTAAAATGTGAACAGATAGAATAAAAAAAGAAGAGTGTGTTGCTATTAGTAAGAGAAGAAAGCTAATTACTTCGACAGTTATGAATGTCTGTCCATGGATGATTGATGGCATAGATCAAAATATTTTTTACAAGAAAAAAAAAAAAGAGATTCATATGTTGATAAGGTTCTTAAACTAAAAATAATGAATGGCTCCTCCTCTTCATATATCCTTTTCCTTATCTTCTATGATAGGCACATGATTGCTAGCCAATCTGTATTTTCAATTTATGGTGAATCAATGCAATTAATAGATGGTGAGTGGTAGCCTTAATGGTGGGAAGAGATCACTGTGACCCTTTCCTACACTCTAGACCTTAGGATTTTCCAGCCGCCCAGCCCGCGCCATTACACTGTACCGCGCGCAATCTCTCTTCACAAAGATTACCCGTCATCCTATTCATCCGACCGTTCATTCAAAATAAGTACAATAATATCCCATTCCCTTAAGTTGGTAACTGCGGCGTACTAGACCGACCGCAAGAAGTCCGCTCTTTTTCGATACTCCCCTATTCCTCGCCTATAAAACATCGCATCACTCAAAACTCTGTTGGCCAGTCTCACATCGTCAACCTCGCAACGCCTTTTCAAGCTTTTCGCTTTAATGGCGGATCAAACATGTTCGATCTCTGGACTATCAGCTCTACTCTCCATCTCTGGATCCTCAAACGCCACAGGTGCGGCACAGTACATCTGCTCCCAGCTGAAGACGGCGGCGCTGATCACCGCCGACTTAACCACTGCGATCGACGCGACCTTCCTCCTCTTCTCAGCCTATCTCGTCTTCGCCATGCAGCTCGGCTTCGCGATGCTCTGTGCCGGATCCGTCCGCTCCAAGAATACGTTGAACATCATGCTCACCAATGTCCTCGACGCCGCCGCCGGGGCCCTCTTCTACTACCTTTTCGGCTTCGCCTTCGCCTTTGGATCCCCATCCAACGGATTCATAGGTCGCCACTTCTTCGCCCTAAAATCCGTCCCCTCCCCTGGCTTTGACTACCCTTATTTCCTCTTCCAATGGGCCTTCGCCATAGCCGCGGCCGGCATCACATCAGGGTCCATTGCCGAGCGCACCCAATTCGTTTCCTACCTTATATACTCTTCCTTCCTCACCGGCTTCGTTTACCCCATTGTATCCCACTGGTTCTGGTCCGCCGACGGCTGGGCCGCAGCAAACCGAAATCCAAACGATTCGCTTCTATTCGGTTCTGGAGTGATCGATTTCGCCGGATCTGGCGTCGTCCATATGGTCGGAGGAATCGCTGGTTTTTGGGGGGCGCTAATCGAAGGTCCCCGCATTGGTCGCTTCGATCACAAAGGCAAACCCGTCGCCCTCCGCGGTCATAGCGCGACCCTCGTCGTCCTCGGCTCATTCATGCTCTGGTTCGGCTGGTACGGCTTCAATGCCGGCTCGTTCATCACGATTGCCAAATCTTACGGTCCATTAGGCTCCCCAATCAACGGGCAGTGGTCCGCCATCGGCCGCACCGCCGTTACCACCACCCTCGCCGGATGCACGTCAGCTCTCACCACTCTTTTCGGTAAGCGCCTTCAAACAGGACACTGGAACGTGATCGACGTTTGTAACGGGTTGCTCGGCGGCTTCGCCGCCATCACTGCCGGATGTGCTGTGGTTGAACCTTGGGCCGCTGTGATCTGCGGCTTCGTGGCGGCCTGGGTTCTTATCGGGTTCAATCGTCTCGCCGAGAGATTTCAGTACGATGACCCCCTCGAGGCCGCTCAGCTGCACGGCGGCTGCGGCTCATGGGGGGTTCTCTTCGCGGGCTTATTCGCGAAGAAGGAGTTCGTGGAGGAGGCGTATCCGGGGAGGCCGGGGAGGCCGTATGGGCTCTTTATGGGCGGCGGAGGAAGGCTTCTGGCGGCGAACGTGGTGCAGATGTTGGTGATAGTTGGGTGGGTGAGCGCGACGATGGGTCCTCTGTTCTTTTTTCTTCATGAGATGGGGTTGCTTAGAATCTCGGCGGAGGACGAGTTGGCCGGCTTGGATGTGACTAATCACGGCGGCGCCGCTTACGTTTACTTTGATGAGGACGCATCCGGCGGTGGAAGCAATGGCGGCGGATTCATGATGAAGGGGGTTAATTCGCGGGTGGATCCGCTGCTCACTCCTACGTCTTCCATTGAGGTTTAGCTACGCCACCCCTGCTTTATCACAGTAGATACGTACCTTGTTCATAACCATAATGAGGATGTCCTCATATAGTCTATTTCGAGTTGTAATCGGTAAACTCTTTCACCGTATTTTTTTTTTTATGTTTTAACAACTTTTTAAACATTTCTCATCAGTGTTATCTGCTATTAATGATCATGAGGATAGTAAGTCTTTTTTCTTTTTTGTTTTTGTTTTTGTTGTTGTCAAATAGGCCATTTGGACTCTATCTTAAATATTAAGGTTTCGTTTTCGATTGTTTTCTTTTTGCTTTTTAAAGCAGCATTAATATAATTTTTTTTTTTTGGGAAAATTGGGGCTCTAGGCCCATTTCATTCATGAAAGGAAAGAATACATAAGAAATAATAAATTGCTACCACAAAAGGCCAGTAGCAATCTGAAGAACGAAAACAACATAGACAAAACTGCTTCAAAACAAAAGAAAAATCCTATTACAATGATCACCCTATCAGCCTTTGCTGCAGAATTATAAAAGCAAAAATTTGATATTTCTGATGACACGAATACCGTGGTTATCTCCAGAGTGAGATCTGTAGAAGAAAATCCACCAGCAAAAAAGAGCTCCCAAGTCTATCTAAACCTGGACTCAGATTAAACTTATTAAGGCACACGAGAAAAACTGAAATCCCTGGTTGCTCGTAGACCGTCCAAGGGACCCAGAATGGGAGCTTCATCATTGTCCAGATAAGACTTCAAAAAATGCTCGCAGCGACTGGATGATAGTAGGGACTTAATAAGCATATAAGCTGCATCACTAGTTACAGAAGTTCCAAGTAATCCATAGAGTTCTTCCATTTTGCAATTCTCTCAGAAATGTTCCTTTTAACATTGACAATCAGGGTATTATGGTAGTAAGAAATATGCCCAAATCTCCTACCATTCCTCTCCTTCCATAAGTGGTAAATAATGCAACAGATAAGGGTATAGTAGAAGTTTTTAACCTTCTTGTTCCCCTTGTAGTTACCCTTAATCCATTCAAAAACCTGCAGAGTGTTGGGTCTAAAAAGGAATGATTTCAACCCAGGTATAATTGCTGTAAGAACTTTGAAAGCATAATCACATTAGAAAAAAATGTGAGAAATAGTTTCATTTATTCCCTGGCACAAATTACAACCAACATGAACCAAAATGTTACGGGAAATAAGAGCATCCGCGGTCTTGAGTCCGCCCACCAAAGTCATCCAGGCATAAACCGAATGCTTCATAATATTTCTTTTTGCCCATACAGATTTGTGCCAAGAACAGGTTTGTAAGTCAGAGTAAAACTCCTCAATGTAATTCTTGAATTTATATGAACTGCTATTTTTCCATTTAAGACAAGTCTCAACATCCTCAATGCTAAAACCAGCAAGCAGAGTTTTCAAATTCAGAGAGATGTTCTCAGGAAAAACCCATTGAGATCTAGAAATAAGACTATTAATGGTGGTATCAGGACAGCATCCCAAATACGCCCCCCCCCCAAGGAAATCAGCAATATTATGATTGTGACACTAGTGATCCCAAATTAAGGATATAGGAGCTTTTGGTGTTATACTAAAGTTAAAGCAGTGTTTAACCTCCATAGCAGTTTTACTTATAAATTTCCACTGATTAGAAGAAAAAACAGGGGGCGGCTTCCAAGGGGATTTATAAATACAAAGGAACCATTTTGATAGTGGAGATGCAACATTATACATCCTTAAAATCACAGAATAGTTATAAGCAAATTGAAGGGAAGAGATAGAAGGAATCCCCAACCCACCTTTGTTTTTAGGCCTGCATATCTTATCCTAGGACACCATATGTAATTTTTTAGCATTCAAGGTATCCCCAAAAAACAAGAATCTAGAACTAGCTCGTTTGATATATTTGTGAACTGTTTTTTGGTAAAATGGAGCCTCTAATCCAATACGCAATCGTGTTTTGGATGGTGAATTTCAGGTATTGGAGCCTGCCCGCAAAAGACAGTAAATTTGCTTTCCAGCCGTTCATTTTTTTTATTAACACAATCTATAAGAGGCAAATAGTCTTCAATCTTGAGCTTATAAAAGGATAAAGGGATACCAAGATACATGATTTTGTTAACCACATTGTGTATAGAAAGAGTTTGGCAGATATCCTGCGGGTTCCTCAGATTGTTAGGGAACATAATAGCACACTTATCATAGTTTACATGAAGCCCCGAGTTATCAGCAAATTCCCTCAAAATATTATTCAGCTTGTTCCAATTTTCAACAGTTGCCTCCCCAAAGATTAAAACATCATATGCATATAGCAGATGAGACAAGGATTGGTTGTCAAAAGAAATTCCTTTGAAACCCCTACACTCCAAGATATTAGAGAAAGCATCCATCACTATACAGAAAAGGTAAGGGCTTAAAGGGCACCCCTGTCTAAGCCGTGCAGTAGAAGAGAAATAACCTTCAAAGGCTCCATTTAGTAGAATAGAGAAATTGACATCGGTTATACAAACTTTTATCCAGTTAACGAAGAGGGGAGGAAAACCTTTTTGATGAAGCCTATAAAGCAAGAATTCCAGACAAACCGAGTCAAATGCCTTTTTGAGGTCTAGTTTAGCGCAAAAATAGTTGCAAGGACTTTTCTTAGCAGCATAAGAAAGTATATCATTAGCAAGCAGAATGTTATCAGTAGATATTCTCGATTTTACAAAGCCAGCTTGATTGTCCAGAACAATCAAATTCATGATAGGTTTCATTCTCTCAGCTAAAACCTTAGCCATAATTTTGTAAAGGACATTGCAGAGAGCTATAGGTCTGTAGTCAGAGATATCAGCTGCATTTTTATGCTTAGGTATGATAGCCAAAGCAGTGGCTTTCACACCATTTGGCATATAACATTTGTTAAAGAAAGAGTAAACAGCCTTGAATACCCAATGACCAATGATATTCCAAGTAGATTTGTAAAAAAAGAAATTAAACCCATATGGACCGGGTGCAGAGTTTGATTTGCCTGAAAAAACAGCCTTTTTCACCTCTTCCTATAGCACAGGAGAGACAATACCGATAGCAAGAGAGTGAGGTAGCAAAGTCCCAGTCGGAAAAATCACTATAATTATGACTAGGGGGAGCAGGCGGGTTGTACAAACTTTGGTAAAACTGGATTAAAGTATTAACCACATCTGCTCTAGAGGAAACCGAAGGATTAACAAGTAAATTCCCAACAGAATTAGAACCTCCTCTTCTAATTCTAATCTTAGCAAATAAAAACTTTAAATCATCTTCACCTTGCCTTAACCAGTTAACTTTTGCCCTCTGTATAATCCAGGATGCAAGCAAATTGTTGAACTTTGCTAGTTCTAACGTGCTAACCTTGTAGGATTGATTAATTTCCAAGTTATTGGGATCTCTCTGCAACTTATCTAAAATTTCAGCTTGCTTAGCATTCAAAACATCCAAATGCCTAGTAATACAAGAAGATGAAGACCAAGCCTCACACTTCACCCCAATCTTAATTTGTTTCAGATTATTGGTGAAATGAGAAATAGGATTTCCAAGGCACGGTTTGGAAAAAACCTCCAAAATAAGCATCCAGAATTTGTCAAAATTAGTCCATAAGTTTTTGAATTGAAAACGATGGTGAACTTGCACCTTCATACCACTATTCAGAATAATGGGGCAATGGCCCGAACAGGAGGGACTGTGAAATCTGCAAAAAGAGTCTGTGAAGGAGTTCACCCAAGCCTCATTCACTAAAACACAATCTAGCTTTATATGAATAGGATTAATAGTGCGCTGATTGAACCATGTATACTTAAACCCCACAGAGTTTAGATCTACCAGTCTATTATGAAAAATCATATAATTGAAATCTGACAAAGCAGCATGATTTATGGGAGTACCTCCAAATTTTTCAAATGCTAACCTGCAGCAATTAAAATCCCCCATTACAGCCCAAGGGAATTCATTAGAAGGAGCAAGCTGAGTCAAAATTTCCCATAGTTTCTTACGGTCTTGAGAATTATTTGAAGCATAAATAGCAGAAAGCTGGAGCAAAGGTTTATTAGCAACCCAAATAATACCCGATATAACTTGTTCCGAGATGTGAGAAGGTTCGAAACTGAGCTTGGATGTATCCCATTTGACCCAAATCCTACCCGAAGTGGATAGAGCAAAATTATGGCAACTATTCTCATTCGAGAACAGAGAATGTGAGGCTTCAAAGAAAGGGTCTTGAAGAGTATTGGAATTGATCCTAGTTTCCAGGATGCAAATCATATTCAAGTTGAAAGACTTGATAAGTCATTTACAGGACAAAACTTTATCAGGGTGATTGAAGCCCCTGATATTCCACGCCGCCATGGGTGGAAAGGACATTAATATTGAGATTGTTGTTGAGGTTTTTTGCCCTGCTTCCCCCTTGTAGGCTTTTTAGATGCCACACTATATTGTGGCTGCTTGCCCTTCTCCAAGGCCTTAGGTTTCCCACTGGTTGTGGAACTCAAATTCTCAACCGAACACTGAGTATCATCGTTTTGCTGAAATTGCTCTTCAATACTGTTAAGAGCATCAAATTTATTTGGCGATAATATATCTTTGGGTTGATTGAAGTTTTGAGATGTAGATGATGAGGAGATAGTTTCCTGTGGAGAATTGAGGTTCGGGATGCCAGAGACAATAGCATCTTCAATTGGCGGCACATCACCCATGGGATTGACATCCAACTGTGGATTATTTTTTGCGGTTGGGGAGTGCGGTTGATATGTCATAGGTTGCCCTAAGACATTGTTAATGATAGTATTAGGCTGCGGGGGGTTGGATATTGTTGTGACAGGAGGAGGGGGGGGGCATTATTGCAGATAAGTTCTTGTTCTTTTGGTAAAGCATTTGAGGCAGGAGGTCTGGAAGAATTCCTATTTTTTGAGATAGGCCTTTTATGAGGCTTACGACTGAAACTCCTACCTCTTAAATCAGACGACTCCTTCGGGCGTTCTTCAGAGTTAACTTTCGGAACAATAGGACAGGAAGATGAAAAATGCATAAGCGACTTACAGTGATCGCAGGGGTTAGGGCGCCATTCATATTGAACTCTTAAGGTGACCACATCTCCATCAAGGGATACCTGGATTTCCTCCGGGTATGAAGCAAGATTGTCCACCAGCACACATACACGAGCGTAGGTTAGCCTCGTCATTTGTTCAGTCAGCTTGTCCGCTGCAACCGGTATCCCGATTTTACTCACTATACGTGATATCCCCTCTGAATTCCAACATGCAAGTGGGAGGTCGTGTATTTTCACCCAGATCAGAACAGATGAAAATTCCTCCTTGATGGGTTTGAACTTTGGATGCCACTTTTGAAGCACAAAAGGCTTGCCGAGCAGGAACCAGACGCCTCTCGACCACGCCATGTCAAAGTCTTCTTGACAAGAGAACCGGAGAAGAAAAATACCTTCGTTTAGGGATAATAACTGCAACGAGCCCTTTAGACTCCAGGTTTTGTTGATAGCCCCCAACAGTGCTTTATAGTAAGGTCTTCGACCAATCGAGTAGCCAACGAGGCAAAGGTTCTAGACTTCGGCACCCTTGCTCAGCTTTTCACCCGAGAAAGGAATGATCTCTGGTTCCTCCGGGTGATGAGAAAATTGAAAAGCTTTGGGAGCAGAAAGATCGGGCGCAAAAAACTTTGTTCCAGTTCCTCGGTAATGGAAGAGATTTTCCATCAGACATCTTTCCAAGCGGAGGAAAGTCAGAGGAGGAAGGTGGTTCAGCCATGAGTAAAGAAGAAAGTTCTCCTGCCTAGCCGGAGAAGGAGGAAGAAGAAGATCGTTCAGCAGTGGAGAGCGGCACAGGGAGAAGGAAACCCTAACGATTAATATAAAATTAAAAATCTTTATATTAATAACTTGCTTTAAGATGCAGAAAAAAAGGCAGTTTCAAATAAAGCCTAATATGATACTCTAAAATTTACTTTCTTAATCTAGGATATACTAGATTATTATTCAAATTCTTTTTTACATAAGTTATTTTTTCACTTTGTATTACCATTATCATTAATAACAGTACTTGAAGAGTTGATTTAATCTACTTAGCATCATTTGATATTCCATCCTACAATTTCCATTAAAAAAAGGTGCATTTCTAATATGGTACAAGAACAAAAAAAACACAGCATATACAATACAAAAATAAGGAATTTAAGGATGAATAATACATCACAAATAATGAGCAAGAAAGTCATATAAAACTCATAGATGAATCCTATATCAAACCAAGTGAACTAGAAGAAAGATACAGATCCCAAACTAACACAAGCTTAAAATCTTAAAAAAGAGAAAAAAAAAAATTCTAAATTGTAAAAAAAAAAACTCTAAAAGCATATTAAAGTAAATGATTGTGAACTATTCAACGTTATACAAGATGTGAACATATAGACTAAAAAAGAAGAGAGTGTTGATATTAGTAAGAGAAGAAAGTTAACCTCTTCTAGAGTTATAAAGGCTTGTCCATGGAAGATTGATGGCATTAATCCTAATCTTTTTGAACAAGAAATAAATGAAATAAGAGTTTCTTATGTTGATAATGTTGGTAAACTAACAACAATGAGCAAACAACATATGCTATACTTCTTATGTGATTTATCTCCTTTATCCTCTCTCAACTCTATGGCAATTGTTCACCGAAACAATGCCCTGAGCCCTCTTTTCATGATACAAGTGGTAAGTATACACCAATGTGAATTTTTGCAAGGTTGTTTATACCAAACTTTTGTAACCTAGAGAAATTAAGAGTTGTAGATATTTGAGAGCTTATATATTTTCTTCATTGAGATTTGTGAATTCTTCCTCTCTCTCATCCATTATAAACATAGGACATGTCAAATCACTAAATTCTTTTCAAGTGTTGTATCCTCTAAAATCTCTAATTAATTTTCTCTCTTTTCTTTAACTATTAAGTCAAACTTCATCAGGGACTAAAGTAGTTTGGAGGCTCAGCCTTCCTTCTCCTTCTTGGTGATTCGGTAGGGTCCATTACCCAATCTCACTTATTACTCCTCTATATTAACTTTCTAACATCCACATAAGGTTAGTTAAAATTAAATATAGTCCATAAATATATGATACAAATAAAATATTAATTTGTCAACACTTAAAGAGTACTTCAATAAATATTTCATTCTTGTAACATCATCTTTAGATTTAATATTTGTGTTCATAAAGAGCCCTCTTTTATTCTTTAATTTAATTTTTCACTTCTCTGGTTTGGGCGAAAAGTGAATCAACTAAACATTTGAGGAATTATGTAAGTGGATTTATATATTATAATAAAATAACATAAAAGTATATTAGTAGATCTTCCAATTATTTAAATTTTAGCAAATATTCATATAAATTATTTTATATTTTTAAATTTATAGCACAAAAAATTATAAAAATATATATTCATAAAATAACTCATCATGTTTAGAAAACTTTAGAGAAATCAATTTGCAAAATGTACACCTAACGGTCTCAAAAAATCCTACTTCTACTAACATGTGTCATTTTCTAAAATTAGAAAAAAAAATTGATTATAATTAAAACACAATAACATTTATATTATGGAAAAGACAGATTACAAATTTGACTTATAATACTCTAAACAAAATTATTTAACTAGGTCAAAATTTAAGCTATTACAATCTCCCCATCTTAGAAAAATATTACCCTCGATATTTCTCAATACATATCCTCTATTACTAGTAACACTTGTCCTTCATATCAGCCATTAATCATCACTTATCAATCAAATTAAATCATTTATGTATGTTAATCATTCAATCATTTGAATATAAATCAATCAATTTATAGCATTTAAATCAAAAGAATGATATTCAAAAGATAACTTATACTAGTGAGCCACTTTATAGCATCTATGACTTCCTTGTGACTTAAACTATATACTCTCTGTTGTACTGGATGTGGTGTCATCATTGACTATGTGGGTTGTCTCTGTCTCTCATTCACCTATCTTTTATTTATTCCGCACACAAAACCTTGACTAGAGATTTAATATCCTGCAAGTCTCTATCCATATGTCAATTTATACTGATATGTCCTAGACAAAAATGTAGCCTCCAATCCTCTCTATAGTAATCCATCATCATGTATGAAGGCTTTATCTAATAAGTAGATAACATTATCGTGTATGTCTCCTCGCATATATGGGATACTCTAGTACACTACCAGCTAATAGTATTAGGGATCCTCTCTAAAAATTAGTAAATATGCTTCTCTTAGCACCACTTTCTCCTCTTATTAGTTATTAAGCTATTATCTTTCTACTCATGTCCAGTCTAAACTAAGGAATTTTTTAATTGGATTAAGATATTATAATAAATAATCTAAGGATATATTTAAGGTTGCAAATGAATTGAGTGTTCGATGAGCTACTCGTGACTCGGCTTGATAAGAGATTGTTTATGTTTGTTTAACAAGCTAACTGAACAAGTTTGAATAATTTTGATAAATAATTGATAGCTAAATAAATAAGCTTGAATAGCTCATCATTTGGTTTATTTAAGTTCATGAACAATAATATTCAGAGCCTGTGAATAAGCTTGTTAAGAAGATCAATTAATGCACACATGTTCATGGCTTGTTTAAAGCTTTATTAGAGCTCAATTATGCATTATTTAAGTAAAAATACATAATATATCTTATTTCACCAATAAAATGATTAATTCTTATGTTATTTAACTAATTTTAAAAGCATAATATAAATAAAATTATTATTTTTATACCCCCATCAGACCCGGCTGCCTCTCTCACTCTCATTCATTTCCTTTTTTTCATTCTCTTGCCCGCCAAAAACTTCCAGCCTCTCTCTCTCTCTCTCTCTCTCTCTCTCTCTCTCTCTCTCCTTTGTGGCACGGCAGCAGCACCCAAAAAACGGAAGTTGATGATACTCACATTCAGCACAAACTTCCTGCAAAAAAGATAACAAGGAAAGAGAAAGCACCAAAAAATAATAGAAGAAAGAGGCTTACAGTGAATGATAGGAAACATTATATTTGGGCAAAACCTGCAATAGCCTCTCCAAAAAAGGATATAAGAACAGCTGTTAAACATACTATTTTTGAAGGGAATATAGAAAAACTGAAACATATCATCACTGATATGAAAAAGAATAGACCATATAGTCCTAATACTATTATCAGGTAAGTAACCAGTGCTAGAGAATTTCCAATCAGCACTCCTATCATACCGGTTAAAAACATAGGCCAACGCATGAAATGACTTGGAAATCCAGTTATAAAACCGGCTCATAAATGAACTGTTCCAGTAATAAAAGATAACATCAGTAAAACTAGAACAAACAAGCCATAACCAAGCCCTTAAAATACAAATGCTAAAATGGCTGGATTGAAGGTGCAGCAGATAAGTAACCCAAACATCCTTAAAAAGGATAGAAAACATTACCACAGGACATAAAGACCAACAACCGATACCACAAAACCATAAAATTCTGGCAAGAAAACTAACATTAGCCTGAATAATGGAATAATGATGCAAAATTTGGTCATAATTAGAACCAGCTAACAACTGATAGAAACAGAACATAACATTAACAGACCAATACAGGACATAAAGAATTACAGGAATACAGCGGAAAATAGCAAAAGGATGATCATGATTGCAAATACAAAATACCGAAGAGACATAAAACATGTCGTAAATGTGATTAACCATATCTGATATAAGGTAAACCAGTATTATCCAGTAAGATCATACCTTGGAGAAGCGGATGCAAATCATTAGTATTTAAATCTTCATAGCAAGGAATATTACAACCATACTTGGCTAACCAATCAGCACACGAGTTAGCTTCACGAAAAATATGAGAGATGAGGTAATGAAATTTGGACAAAGACAGTTTAAGCTTCCTAATAAGATAAAAATTCTCAGGATTTCCCGGAATAACATTATTAATGATCTGAATTAGAATAAAAGCATCAATTTCAATCCAGATAAAATTAACATTTAAATTAGAGCAAACTTGAAGACCAAGAAGCAGCACAAGGATTTCAGCCTTAAGGGCATTATTGCACTGAATAGGCGCCGCAAAAGCAGCCAACACATTACCATTATTGTTTCTAATAATACCACCAGCACCAGCCCCATTTGGCCCAAGAGAACCATCAGTATTGAGCTTCACATAAGGAGGTTTTGGTTTGATCCATTTAACCATTCTATCAACACACGTATTAGAAATAGTAGAGAAGTTAATGCCTAACAAATTAGCCAGATGGCTACAATTGCTGAACTGCTTTTTAGAGATAATCTTGTAAGCATGCATTTGATTAATCTTATACTTCACATTCGAAATAATAGCCATAGCCTCCATAGTAATAGCATTATGCTTGGCCTCA